TTAATCAACTCTTTTAGGAGTTTGTTATAATTATAAGTTATTAGTTATAATTTACAAATGGGTGTGTCTTGCATAAGGTTGTAATCTTAAACAATCTAAGTAAGACGCATCTCTAAATTTTATTATAAATGTACTTTGGATATAAAAAATTATTAAGGTGGGTTGAGAATCTATTTTCATCTCTAAATATAAAATTTTAAACTCTAAAAAAGGTTCAAATTAAGTAGATCTATAAACACATGAAAATCTTGAAAATGAACAGTCCAGACAATGTGTTGCAAAACAATATTGCGCAGACTTGAAATCTTATTTTTTTTTTATATATTCACACATCTCGATGTCGAGATAATCAATTAAAGGGTTTTCCAACATCCAAACAACATTTTATAGTGAATTTTTGAGGTGCATCTTTATTTATATATTTTAAGGTTGCAACATTTCTTAAACTTTTCCCTTTACAATATATATTTAGGGTGTGGTTTCAATAAGGTTGTAACCTTAAACAATCTAATTAAGGTGCATCTCTAAATTTTATCATAACATGCAATCTAAGTGTAAAAAATTATTAGGATTATCATAAAATCTACTTTACAATAATCTCTAATTATAAAATTTTAAACTAAAAAAATATTTAAAATCAAGCATATCTATAAACATATGAAAATCTTGAAAATGGACAATTTAGATAATGTGTTGCAAGATGCACTATTTATGGGACTCAAAATATTTTATTTTTTATTTCCTATTCATACATCTCGATGCCGAGATGATCAATTACAGGGTTTTTCAATATTAAAAATAACATTTTCCGATATATTTTCAAGGTGCATCTTTAATTTTACATTTTAAGTTTGCAAGTATACACTTTTTCCATGTATTTATAACTTATATATTTGTTGGTTATATATTTATAAGTTATAATTTATAACATATAAATAACACTTTAGATATTTTTATGTTATAGATATATTCAACTACAATATATGAAAAATAATCAATTAATAACCTTATATGAATATAATTTACAATACAATAATTTTATAGTAAAATATGCATTCTATTGTTTTAAAAAAAAATATTTTATAGTAATTTGGACGTTCATCAAATATTGGTGGTGAGTTTTTAGTAATCTTAAAGAAACTTCTGCTTAGAACAATTTAATGTTTCATTTCTGTTGTAGCGCTATATTGTGTTACCCACTCAACTTGTGTAAAATTTATAATGAAGCTAAAATAAATGTAGAACTTATTTAAATTTCATATATTTTTTCGTTACAGAGTTTAAATGTGCATGTGTGTTGGATTATCTAGAAGTTCAATAATGGATGTTTTTTTATTGTGGTTTTGCTATACTACATTGTAGATTTGTCTTTAATTAATTTATATTAGTACAAATCATTTATGCAGTAGCAAAATATGTCATTTATGTGGTAACACTATGTTGTGCTACCTGCTCAACCTGTGCCAAATTTATTTTTAAAAAGTCATAAAGAATATGTAAAATTTATTTAAAACTGATTTAAAAATCATGATTTTAATTTTCTAATTTGAGAAATAGTTTATTTCTTACTTAATAACATTTCATAGTTCTAAAATTTAAGGATCTATCATCCATTTAATATTTTAAAGAGAATATTTTATTTTATTTTTTAAATTATATATAGGATTTTTAGTTGAGGGATCATGTACATGAGGAAATACATAACCTATTGACATTTTGTAATGATATATGATTATTTAAATTATATATGAGTTCGTAAAAATTTTATTAATGAATTATGTCATTGACCAATTATAAAATTTAACGTATATTTATCTTTAAATTCGTTTATTAATTAAATTTGTAATCATTGTTATAAATTTTTTATAATTTTTTTAAAAAATATTTGAATTTTTTTTTAAAAAATAGTTTACTTAGCATAGATTGAAATCTATTATAAAACACATATTTATTTTAGAGTAGTTCCCTTGAGAAAATTATAAGCAGGTAAAAGATATTTTCATGATGATAAAGACTTATTGTATTTTCAAATACACAATGGTAATTAAAAAGAAAGCAACCAACCATATCCGAGCAACCCCATTTCATCACATTGTATAAGTATACATTTAAATTAACTTCGCTTGTTAATTAAGATTTTATGTTTTGTTCTTCCAAAATTACTCCGAAAGTGAAATTATTTTATATTTTAAGTATTCATAATTTAACTTATAATATAGGAGTAATGTGCAAATTAAATTTAATTATAACATATTTGTTTTATATAAAAATGAAATTTGTTTTAGAGAATTTTCACTTAAAGAATTATATATCGGTGAAATACTTTGGTTCAAATAATTAAATATTTTGTTATCTCTTCCTTCAAATAATGATAATTAAGAAATTTTACTTTATATATGTAATTGTAGCTTTTTAAAACAAATATCAAGAAATGCTATAAATGTAAATGGACTAAATTAGTATGATTTTTTATTTTATAATGTAATGGTTTGATAGAGTTGGAGTCTTATCAAAATAAGTCAACCCTCGCCTCATAATTCATCAAAAATTACAATTCAAGCCCTGGAAAAATTTTAAATCGATCATCTCATCTTGAACATTATGGTTGTGAAAAAATTAGGATTTCAAATTCTAAAAATAGTAAGTATTGCAACAAATCATCTAGATCATCTATTTTTCCCAAAAAATAAGTGTCCCCATATATGCAAGACCTATAGCATTTTTTGAGTTTCAAATATTTTTTTTTGTGTTTGAAATTGATTTTGGAGCCATCATGGAAATTTTCGACTCCAGAAGTGCTTTCTAGAATGAGGATTTGAAGTGATGCTTTATTTGTTTGCATAAAGCCTAGGCATTATAGAAACTTCATCCATTGGAAAACGTTTATATAAGGGCGAGGCCCTAAACAATCAAATTAAGGCGCACCTCAAAATTTCATTAGAAGAGGTTGTTTCAATGCCCAAAAGTCCTCAAATTGATCATCTCAACTTCAAGATGTATGGACATGGGAAAAAAAATTGATTTCAAGTCTTGGAAATAGTACCTCTTGTAATGCATTTTTTTACTATCAATTTTCATGATTTTCAAGTGTTATCTGCTCGATTTAAATTTTATAATTAGTGATGAAAAGAAATTTTTAGGTCATCACAAATATTTTTAGTATTGAAACATCTTTCGCCTTACTTTAATGGTTTAGGACCTTGGCCTTATACAAACCACACCTATCTGCCGTTCTTTATTTAATTATCTAAAGGGAAAAGTTTATATAAAGTTGCAACCTTATACTGTCGAAGTAAGATACACCTAAAAAACATTCTCCAAATGTCGGCATCGGAAAACCCTCCAAGTAATACCCGAGATGTATGGACATGAGGAAAAAAAGAATTCAAAGTCCAAAAAATAGTACATCTTATAACAAGTTATATAGATGGTCTATTTTCAAGAGTTTCTTGATTTGTTTGATCTGTACAATTTTTAAAATTTTAAATTTTATAACTAAGGATGAAAAGTTATTTCCAAGTCTAAATATATTTTAGACGCGCACGGCGCACCTCATTTATACAATATAATGAGGCAACCCTATGCAAACCTCATAGTTAATATTTTAAGTGTTTTCCGTACGTTTCCCAATTTTAAAGTGAAAAATATTTTGATAGAGCTGCAGCCCTATCAAAATAAATAAAACCCCACTTTAAAACTCATCAAAAGTTACAATTCTTGCATAAAATAAACCTTCAAATTGATTATCTCGGCCTTGACCTGTGCAAAAAATTTAAGTTTTTAAGCCCTAAAAACATTGTATATTATAATGCATTGTCTAGATCATCCATTTTGCCGTAAAAATATGTGTTTACAAGATCTGTATTATTTTTTGCACTCCAAATTTCAAAATTGGAGTTGGAAACTTATTTTAGAACCACCATCGAGATTTCTGAATCCCAAAGTGCTTTTCAGAAGGATTCGGGGTGAGACTTCACTTTGTTGTCATAAAAGCCAAAGTGCTTTTCAGAAGGATTCGGGGTGAGACTTCACTTTGTTGTCATAAAAGCCTAGGCCTTCAAGAAACTGCATCCCTTCAAATTAGGGAAAATATGTTGTAAACCCCTGACTTTCGAAACCTGCACCCAAAATATATTTCGAAAATGCAAACTCAAAGCTCCAAAATTTCTGAAATGGTTATTTGGATCTAAAACAGTAATAGCTTTTAAGTCCTTAAAATAGTCTGATCTTACAACATTTTTGTGACGAGTTCTCTATTATTTCTAATTTTCAAGTTTTTGCAGATCTGTAATATTACTTTAATGAATTTCCTTTTTCCTAATATTAGTGGCAAGAGGCCGGCCAGAGCTCCCTCTCCTTGCCCTCACCCGCCCAACCTCTTTTTCAAGCCTATTTCTCACTCCCCCTCTCTCTCTTTCTTCACCTATTTCTCACTCCCCCTCTCTCTCTTTCTTCACCTATTTCTCACTCCCCCTCTCTCTCTTTCTTCACCTATTTCTCACTCCCCCTCCCTCACTCTCACGCAAGACCAAAGACCCCAAACTCTCTCAAACCAGGCCACATGCATATGTCAAATAAACTAGTTGAAAATCTCAAAATTCATATAAGTTTGTTCCCAAAACACCAGTTTGCAATTTCAATTTCTGAATCAGTTTTTCTGTTTTAGATTTTGAAAATATGAACCGAGTATTTTGTAAAGAAAACAAAAACAAAAAATGAGAATACAATCACAGATTACAACAGAATGTGGATATATTTATAATTCCAAAAAAATCCGGGGATATTAAATTTCCCCAAAAAAAAAGGATATAAGTCTTATATTACAACAAATAGTACCGGTAGGTCAAAAAAGAAACAACCTTTTGATAGTGCCATTAGAAGTTCCAAAATAATAGATGAGGGAAAAAAAAATATCTAAAAACAATTCAAGGAAACAGAACACAACTTCGGTATGTGGAGGTCCCAATCAGTCTCAGTCAGCTTGAAAGCGTGTAACAAAGTGCGAAAAAATTCTCTTTAGGTTTTGAGCTTGGTCAATAACACCATCTCAAGTACACGATTTCACATCCAATAGCCAATTGTGATTGTACCTCACCAAAGGTAAATGGTGGGAAAAGGTTGGGGTTGGGACGATAACAACTCCTTTTATCGCAAAGCCACTAATTAATCATAAGATGAAAATGAAAGAAACATACATAGAAGAGAATCAAGCAACGGACAAATGAGAAAATTCACGATTCTCTTCCGAACGATGGCCACTCATCCAACATATAAACTAAAGGTGGAAAACAACTCTCATTTTACACAGCAAAACTTGTACCTATTGATAAGTATAAGCATCAGGCTGATCTCTTTCCCCTGTTTCTCCTTGAAGTAACTGGAGCCCACCCCTCTGCAATTTCCTCACTAGAAAGCTGAACCACCTTTGAGGAGCTCTTGCTATTGACTGGGTTGACAGCCATTTGTTCCGGCTCAATGTCCAAAGCCATATCAGAAGCAGGCTCCTGCTCATCATCTGTGCTATAATCAGACCCTTCTTCGCTGGAGACCTGACATAAATGGGATTTTACAAATATAGGACCACAAAACAATATTCTTGAGTAAGTGCCCATGTTGCCCAGGCTGAAGAATAGCTAAAGGATTACAGCACGATAGAGAAAACAGTGCATTGTAGTTTCAATGGTTCCATGCCTACTGATTATTAATTACACAGCCTGTGAGGCATACACCTTGCAGTTCTTTCTTTTTTTGTTAATTTGTTTATAAGGGGGCATACCTGTGCAGTGTGTGCTCTGGATATGATACAAAGACTGAATAAATCTTACTCGTTCAAGAAATAAAACGGAGACTTCCAAGAAGAGATATACAGTTATAATCAGATTATTTACAAATCAATCTCAAAACAAAATTGGAATCCACATAAGAGAAACAAAATATCTTCTGCAAAATAATGAACTACATGTGAAAAGAAAATAAAGGTGGAAGGGGCTCTAGGCAGAGGTGGTTAGGGTGGCAGGTTCCATGACATAATATCTAGTTCCATTCCCACTAGGTCCCGAGTTAACATCCAAGAAAACAAAAAATACAAAAAATCAAGGCAAGTTCCATTACGCTAATGGGATTGTATACAATGAGACCATCTACTTTTGCTACAGTTGACAATTACTTATAACCATCCGAAGTGAAATCTGATAGCTTGGGTGTGTCACAAAATTTGAGAAAAATTCTTTTGAACATTGAGGTTAGTCAATGAAATAAATGCAGACACCCAATTTCACATCCAATGGTCAAGATTAATTATGACCACCTTGTACCAAAGGTAAATGGTATCATTATATACTTTCCCTACTCTAATTTAATCAGCTTACGTGAATGATCCTTGATATCTCCTTTCTCTCCCAAAAGGCCCTAGATATCTTTCAAAGAATAATTTTTTTATCTTAAAACAATTAAGTTCGTTAAGATCCTAAAGTCTCATCCAATAAATTATGAAGTATTTGTTTTTAAGTGCATCAAAAATGGCAAGATGTGTAATGAAAACTAGAGCAAGTTTACACCTTTCTACTCTGTGAAACTGCTTGAGTTGCAGGGCTAGAAGCCCTCAGTTGATATAATGTCTCAAAGTTACCTTTAAGACATTCTTCGTGCAAAATCATCAGTTGCTCTGCCACCTGCCAAATCAGTGTTCACTTTGCATCAATATTATTTGAATAGTTTCAATGAAATAAATGGACAAACTTGAGTCAATTACTAATAAGACAACAATATGGAAGCAACAGGAGCCAAGACAATCTCATGGAACTTGAAATTCAAACAGAAGTGCAGGCACCTAATATACATGTCCTCAAAATACGTAGTATGTACAATAACATACAATATTCCTCCATGGGCGAGAGGGTGGTGTGAGAGAGACAGAAAAATAAAAATAAAAAACTTCACCTTGTAACCCACACAGGTAAGATAACAACAATTAAAGTATTTAAGTAACAGGATAATATTTGATTATAATTTGGATGTTGTGGGAGTTGTATACAAGTGCTCTAGCAACATTATTCAAGAGTCAAGCCGTACTATAAATCCATCTCACTAATCCCTTACATTTGATTCCTGTACTATCTGAGCCTGTAAACAATGCATTACAATATTATCCATAATATATGTGTGAGAATTGAAATACCATTGTGCAGGAATTGACATAGCACAATGCAAGATAAGCAGTGCCGATTGCTTCTCAGATCCTTTTTCTTTATCGTGCTTCATGGTGAAATCCTTCCTCAGAATTTACTAAAGGATGCAGCAGTTCCCTTGGACTGCTTCTATAAAATATCCAAATTCAACACTATGCCATTTTCTTTAGATGGCTGGCCACCCAAGATAAGATCCTCAACATGGGCCTCCCCAGGAACGAGGCCAAAAAAGTTTTATGGGTCTATCGTTTGGATTAGGAGGAAATGGTAGTGATGAATCACCTTCTCTTACCATACGCCCTGTGCATGCAGAATTTGGGATTCACATTAGTTTGAAATTCCTTGTGTTTTACCAAAATCAACACTCATGGGTCATATTGGTACATAACCAGCTGAGATAGGACACAATCATTTGAAGATGAGTCCCATGACCATCTCAGGGAGCCTCTGCGAAGCGAGGGACATTGGGTTATTTGAAAATTGAAAGTACTTTCACTGACTGCCTTGGGCTCATAGGTCTTACTGGAGATTCTAGGATTAAATGGGCCCTTTGGTCTTAACAAAATGTTCAGCCTCAACATCAAGGGCATTGTCCAACAATGGAAAATGTTTGTACATAGTAGCACATGAGCAACCAAAGAGAGAACTCTGGGGCCTTGCGAACCAAACCACCATGCAGCCACCTAAAATTCATTTTGAAAAGCGCCTCTTGAGGGAATTAAGGGGCTGTTTAGGTTGGGTGGTCTAACAGGAGACAACCTCTTTTCTCTTCTTCTCTTTTTTTTTTTTAATCGCTAATAAGGGATAAACTTGTCTACTTTCGTGGGACCTGTTGGCACATGAGATACCATGGAGGTAGATGCAAAGGTGTTATTAAGTCAACTTTGCTTCCCCAACCCCAACTTTAATGGCACCAGTTGAGCACCTAGAATGGCAGAATATTCTTGTAGAATAGCTAACATAATGGATGATGGAATCAAGAGAATAGAAAATTGTGGGTATCTCCAACTCCCATGACTCAGAGAGGTTAATAGTGGGATGCTTTCCCTCACAATGAAAAGGAAGGGAGTGGAGGGGACGGAGGTGAGGGTGTTCTCCCTTGTCTACGATTATTTCCCTCCCTGAATCACCCCATGTATCTTTTCCTTCATTCCTTTTTTTCTTATCAATGCCTTTCCTTGTGTTTATCATGCCATTCCCCAGTTACTCAAAGCAATTTAACCTACCTGCGTTCTTATTATTAACATTATTATCTAGGGAAAAAAGTAACATTATCTTAGCAACATAAATACATTGACACAAGAGACCCATCATTGATAAATCTAACAGAATTCATAATCATATCCAAGTAGCATTTGTATACTAATAGGAAAAGTGTATTCTTCTAATAAAGCCAATAAACCATATGAGATGATTAGTATGCATCATTAGAAGCAACTTGAGATGCCAATAAAAATAGTGGATATTGTAAATTATAAGTTCATAACAGAATACCTCCTCAATGCTGCCATCTTCAATCTCTGAACTGAATGAGAGCACCATAGTCTCATCAAGCATCATTTCCAAGTCATCAATGTAGAGTGGGGCTAAGAAATATATTGAATCAAAGAGTCAGACAAAATCTTGAATACCCACTTTCCTTTAAAGGTAAAAGATAACCACAATATGAAAATGATATGATTTCAACAAAACAATTAGCATGCAATCCAACATAGCATTTTAAAGAAAATGACTATAAAAGACAAATTGGATTTGTATAGAAAGATGGGATCTCAAGTCTATAACAGATCCACCCTCCTAACCAATTCATAAAGCACAGCACAACAGATCATTAAAATATTGAGGAAAAGAGAGTCTAGCTTCTGCAATAATCATAAAGGACGTGTGTTCTCTTCCTCATGAAATGCATGCATATATGTAAGCATTGATATACTGCATATGCATAAATACACATGAATTATTATGAAAAAATATTTTCTTCCACTATCAAAACTTAGTTAGCCAACGCAAGTATGCAACAGCTAAGAAAAATTAAACTACGAGCAGCAATGTTGGACAAGAAAAGGAAACAAACAAATGAAACATTGAGATGTGAGCACCAGATATCATTTTGTTACTGAATGAACCTCATTAGTAAAATAGCATAATACTATTTTCGAGTATTATTTTATGAAAGTCCTACACCTAGTCGGAGCTCATAATTCACATTTTCAAACAAAGGAAACAAACAAATGAAACATTGAAATGTGAGCAACAGATATCATTTTGTTACTGAATGAAGCTCATCAGTAAAATCGCATAATACTATTTTCGAGTATTATTTTATGAAAGTCCTACACGTAGTCGGAGCTCATAATTCACATTTTCAACCAGAATAAGTAAGGAAAATCAATTAAAGTAGCCAAGTTGAAGCCCTGAAAAAAAATTATCTTAGCACCGAGCCTAAAGAAAATAGTGATCACTTTGCTCAATAGGCTACAACAAATTATTCAAGAATGACATTTCAATAAACTAACCAATAAACAAAAGCTGAGAGAGTCACCAACTAGATTTTAATTTGCAAAATCACCAAGCCCTATTATAATATACTGCAATATGTTATATGAATGGGTGAACAAAAAAATGGAACTACTACAACGAGAAAACAATTTCAACTTTACGATATTACACAACAAAAATTTTGAAAACTTCGAGCAAATCCTGAGAAACCAAAATTCTAGCGAAAATTATTATCTTAACAACTCTCAACAAGACAATTATCTGACTCTATCAATCAAACAAACAACAAATCATAGTAGGATACTGCTCGAACAAATTAAGTACTAAACAATAACTATTATGAATGACTTCAATACACTTGAGCTCAAAGTAACATAAATTTTTGCTTTTGCAATCATGAAGTAAATAAAAGAAGCGATCAATCTATAAGAAAAGTACCACACCATTGGATTGGGAGAACCAGGAAACAATATCAGTCGACAATTGCTGAAACTTTTGGCGAGAAGTTCGACCACCCCATTCATTCTCGACGGCCATTTGAAGAGCAGTCCATCTCGAGAGGATGAGGCTTATGCCTTCAGTAAAAAGTGACAGAATCTCCGTTGAGAGAGACTGAGGTGTCCCTCGCACTCCATTATCAGGGTCCATGGGAGCTTGAACCCTGTACATGAAGCTACAACTTGAGCTCTTGAGGGAACAGAGGAAAATCTTAGGGTTTTGAAAAGCTTTCGTGTTGCAGAGAGACGGGATCCGGCAATAGGGCAAAGAGAAAGAAGGGTCAGCGAAACCGCCTTGGCTGTTGTCCGTAAATAGCATATAGACTGCGCATCAAAAAAATACTAAAAATTTATATTTTTAATTTAAAATTTTATTTTTCTTTTTGATCATCTTGGCCTAGATTAATCTAAAAAAAATAAAATAATAATAATCTAAAATAAATTTTAATGGGGCCGCATATATACCTAAGGTGACAATTATTTATATTATGAAAGTATTTATCTTTGATACAAGATCCCATTGAATGTGAATTCGGTTAGCTATGTTTAATGTGTTGATTAAGTTAAAAATTTAAAATAAATTTTTTTGAATTTTGTGACACATCCAAGCTATTAGATTTCACATTTAATGGTTATCTATACTTTTCCTTTTTTTTATTCAAAATTTTGGAATATATTTAATTATCACAGTGATTTTTAAAATGTTGTTAAATTTTTGTGTTTTTAGGTCATTTCCTCTAAAATTTAAAAGATTCATACAATATTAGGGATGTCTATTTAAGGTATGTGAACAGTGAGAGTTAATTATTTTTTGTCTAAAATTTGTGGCTGGGTTCTAGCTACTATATACCCTGAATTTTGGACCTAAGACATAGTCTTAACCTGCATTGTGTTTGAGTAAAATAGATAGCATACTCCTGCAGGAGTATAAAATCGTGCACGAGTATGAAATCGTTTGGCTTCCAAAAGGGTTATGCTGCGTTGGATTACACTATATATTACTCCCTTGGGCAAAATACTTGCTTGGGAAATTTTAAAGCACTTTGAGTTTTATAATGCTTAAATCTTACCTTTCAAAATTTTGAAATTCTCTATTTTTTGAAGTTCTTTATTCAATCTCGAGGCATTATTTTCTTCAAGCACTTAGAAAGTGAAATAAAGACCTATGTGATCTTTTACAGGGGAATACATTTTTTTTTTTTTTTGAGAAAATATCAGGTGGTCTTTATTATAATAAGATAAATTTCAAAATAAAATCAACATAACAATAAAACCAATATCTTAACAACTTTATGTCATTGAAACAATTATGCATTATGCTTGAGAATAAAATACAAGATTGCAATAAACAAAAAGAAAGAGTGTCGGAGATTACCTCAACCGGGCTTATTACACCCCACATCAAATCACCGCCATCCGATGACGTGGGATCAACGGTCTAGCTTCAATTTTGAACCGATAAAGCAGATTTCGGCCAAGCCACACCGATGGATATGAACCCATTTGATCACAAACTCAAACCCTAGGTGAATTATCTTAGCAACCTAGTTTGAGAGATATGGATTATCTTTTTACTAAACCCTAAAACCCTTAGCCGTAAATCTATATTTGAGAGATGGGATAAAATAACTCCATAACCTAAACCCTTAGGTTATTTCACAGTGTGGGAGATAGATCAAGCATAAGAGTGGCGTGTGCCCCTTTTTGGGATATGAGATAGAAATATATGAATTAGGTACAAGAGATAAGGTGTAGATATTTCTGGATAGAGATAATCTGTTTTTATAGGTTTTAAATAATATTAGGGTTTTCCTTAGTTTGTGCGATTGAACATAAACGGTCGATCAATGGTGACTTGTGGGGTGAGAGATCTAAACTATCCATTCCATAAATGGGCCATCAACATTATGGGATGTGCATTAACCATTATTTCCTTTTCCTAAACCATTTTCCCATCAATATATTTAAATAAAATAAATATCATGCATTTTATAAAATTGCACGATCAATGTCACATATTCCACAATGATGTGTCAAATAATATCAAGTAGATAAATACTACCAAATATAAATATGATAAGATCTATATCAATTCAAATTTACCATATCTCTTTAAAACAAACTTGCTACAAAATAGATAAAGCCATGGTCAATATATCATTTCAAGATTTGACCACATGCCACAAATCAAACTAATATTATCTTAAAACCAAACAAGATAATCCAAATAAGGTAGGGCGTGTCACCCTTTTGTGGCACATGTGGGCCCCCACCCACATCCTACATGGTGGGCCCATGTGTACTATGGGTCTCCCCATGAAATATTATAAAAAAATATTATTTTAAAATTGAATAAAACAATTTAAAATATACATTTGAATTTTTATAACTTTGTAAAAATAATAATTGTATTTTTATAAGTAAAAAATCACAAATAAAATATTGAGAGATTCATAAAAATTCAAATAATAAAACTAAAATTATTTCAACAATAAAATGAACACAATTAAATTAATACGATGGTAAAATAATTCATATGGTTTCAGGAATCCAATATGTAATAATAGGGTACTCCACCTTCAATTGTGGACTGCAGACCACACTAGCTTTATCGAACCGACCTAGTGTTTCCCATGACCCACAGTCCAAGCAGTGGCTCATTAGCGGGTCACCAAAGTTAGGTCAATGAATTAAGGGCGCAATCCCAGTCTGTGGATTACAAATCCTCCTCTAGAGACGAGTTAAGGTCACCACGATCTAATGCAACCACAGCTCTATGGCGCATAAGTGTATATCTCATACGCTTCACCCAAAGATAGATATCTGGCTTTTTTGAACGATCTATCAATATGCATGTCGTGTGATGGAACATGGATGTGGTTTTGGCCCCCGTCTCAATAGGGCACCATCATACACAAGGGGCACATAGTCCATCGGCTCACTCATCCGAGTATGTACTCCGACCTCATAAAGGGCTAACCCATACACCCTCATCTGTTTGTTCTTTATGCCCAGGTAACATAGGTTTTTCCCAACCAACTGGCCTAGATCGTTAATATAGATCGGTATCAACAAGCCATCATTTACTTAGTATGGTCTATGAGGGACCACACTCCTACGAAATTCATATTCCACTATATCATTTTATTTTACAAGCACTCACAAGATCTTTAAAAGCCACATAAATCCAACAAAAATAGATTTAAAAAAATTGTTATCAATGATAATACGTGTCATGTGGTTAGAAAGGCTACATCCCAACATTTGGAATCCTAAAAGTAGCTTTAAGGAATAAATGGGCAATATACTATTGTAGGAGTAAGAATATTTTGTCCAAAAGGAGATTAATGAATTTTCATTTATTTATGAAAGCTGCAATAAATGTCTTGTCCTTAACGACAGCAAATTCGCATAAAATAATGTTATATTTTGTGAATTTAAAAGTACATAAGTTTATTTCCTATTGTAAACCGAAGCTCTACTTTTTGGGGAGCACATCATTTAAAAAAAACAAATATAGTTGTTCATTTTTTGTTTTTAAAAATCGAAATGAAACTAAATTTGAATATTTATTCCGTGCTTTACCCCATTTAAAAAATAAGTTGAAGACGCAAGCCGTCAATATTTTTATCTCTTTTGGAATGTTGTATTAATATCAAGTTCCTCCCTCCTCTCTTTTAGCTCTCTATTGCTCTTACGTTCACGCTCCAGAAGAAATTATGATAAATGGCCTCATAACCTCTTTAGAGAGACCACTGGCTTTGTCATTTAACCAATCGATAAACATTGAACATTTACCGTGAGATTTCAAGGGTTTCTCTATTGAACTTGAAACCAAGACTGTCATCTTTATGTGAAAATATAATCTCTCTCTTTCAATGAAAGAGAATCAAGGTTTTCCATAATTGAGTCCGTCTTTGAAATACAATTTCGCCTCTTTCCCTTTATACCTACAATAAATTTTTGGTTTTTTATTATGGGGTCTTCCACTCTGAAATAAAGCACTCTCTTTTTCTCGAACCCAACTCTCTCTCGCTCTCTAATGTGAAAAATTTGAACATTTTGGTTTTTAAAAAATCGAAAATTTTGAATATTTTGATTTTTGAAAAACCGAAAAAAGGTAGATCCGTCTTTTTTATTTTTAAAAAGTGTTATAAAGCTGAAAAACGTACATAGTTGCAATAACAAAAACTTGAAGATAATCACAAGTAAATATAACTAATATATATGTTATTTTCTTTTTATTTTATGATTAAGTTTTTAGAAGACGCAAGCTTTACGAAAATAAAGCAAAGCCCCACCTTAAATCCTCATCAAAAAAGTACTTTGGGCATAATAAATCTTCATGATAGTCGATTTCCAACACCTACTATAAAATTTGAAGTTAATGTCTTATAAGTTATAACACAACCATAATGGTCAAGGACAAAATAATCGGTTTGAAGGTTTTCCGACCCTAGAATTGCAATATTTAGTGAGTTTCGAACAAAGGCTTTACTTATTTTGATAAGGTTGCAGCCATCTGAAAAGTATGTTCCTTTATTTTATCTCTTTCTCTATACACCGAATTCAACTCAAATTTGGCAATCAATGCTTCTCACAGTAACAAAGCTAAAAAAATAATTTTTTTAAATAATAAATAATCAAAATACCCCAACAATTTTTGGGGGTATTTTTTTGTTTTATTTATTTTACTTAATATTTTTAATAGGCATGTGATTTTGAGAAGTATGAATCAATACGAGCCTTAGAAACCGACCAAGGTCTGTTTCCAAATAACAGATAAACTGGCTGGTTAAACCGACCTAATCAAGCAAGTCCCAGGCTGTCAAAAAAGTGTTAAAAAATAAAAATACACAAAATATAAAAGTATATTTACAACATGATTTAAGGGTATTTTTTATTTTTTACCAAAAAAATAGAAAATGTAAAAATAAGTATTCATGACCAAAACACTTTCCAATCTTTGTCAAAATGAAATAAAAATATTTAAAAAGACTTTACAAACAAATCTCTTATTTATTGGTATTTTATACAATTATTATTATTATTATTTTTAAATACTTGACTGGATTACTCAAACCGACCAAAACTGGAACCGGCCATTGACCGATTCCAATCTAACCGGTCGTTCCAATTTGAATTGGCAGATATTGCATTCACTAGTAGGAACATACCAAGTTTAAATACAATCCAACACACAAAAAAGGGAAAAAGATAAATGAAAACATATTACATGCTTTCAGAGAGTGGGGACTATGGCGTAAATTGTAAAATGTGAGATATATAAAGCTATTTTTAATATCAAAATACAATAGAATTTTCAGTGAATTTTTATTTTCTCAATTAAAATTAATCCAAATATTTACGGCAAGGGCCTTATCTATTGTCTAGTTTTTTTAGCCCAAATGGCATTAGTTTGGTACTTGAAGTGTCCGGCCGCATAGTATTTGTCTAGTTTAGCATATACATATAATCCCGTGTTAAACTTTTACCTTTACAATATTTCCCTAAAAAAAAATCTCATTTTTAAGTTCTTTTGAAAAGAAAAAAATTTAGTCACGGTCGAGGCTCTAAACAATCAAATTAGAGCCCGCCTAAAAAAAATTCACTATAGGAGGTTGTTTTGATGCCCAGATATCCTCAAATCGATCATCTTGCATCAATATGCATGGACGTACAAAAAAAAAATGGATTTCAAATTCTGGATATGATGCATCTTGTAAGCGTTTTTTCTGACTGTCAATTTTCAAGATTTTTCAATTTTTCATAGATCTGCTCGATCTACACTATTTTTGAAGCATTTAATTTTCTAAAGGATTGTATACAATGAGACTATTTTTTAAGCTTTAAATTGTGAGCACCTTTGATACTAGGTGGTCACAATTCCTTACAAGCATTTGATGTGAAATTTGATAGTTTAGATGTGTCACAAATTTGAGAATTTTTTTTTTAAGTTTGAGCATAGTCAATGGAATAAATTTTGTATTAAAGATAAAGAGTCTCGTATTATATTTTTCCATTATATATATATATATATATATTTATTTATTATTTTTTTGTTAGAGGTTATCTCAAAGTTTTCTCTCCACTATTTGAAGTTGTGCTCTACTTTGATTGTTTAGAGCCTCGGCTTTATACAAACCAAACCCTTTCGAAAATCTGCCATTTATTTATTTTTGCTCAACCGCGTTCTCTGAAAATCGTTTAAACGAGGATTTGCTTACCAGGCTATCTATTTGAACTTTTGAAGTATGGCTGACCATGCTATCTAAGCTCCAAAATCGCATCCTTGTGCAGGTATTGAACTGGTGTCTAGAAAATGGCTGGCAGGATTAGGGTTTTGCCCCTTTTCAATCTGGTTTTAAGCCATCAATCAAACGTCAATCGATCATTTTCTCAGGGTCCCGAGCTAGACGCGTCGAAATCCCTATTGCTCAAGCTACTACAAGAACCTGATTCACGCATCAAAACCACTTTAGATTCACGCAATAATTTTACTTCAAATGGTGATACCCTTCTCTGCGAGTCCTTTATCAGAGCTCTGAGGTCTTCATCTCCCAAGAAAGCTCAACTGGTATGTTCTATATCCTCTCACTTATTTCAATTCAAGGATGGATAAATTGCAGTACTTTCTAGAGAAGAGAATGGCTTCAAGATGGTCACTGTTGAACGATGGAAAAAGGACTGCTAGAGACACAATGCTAAAGTGGGTATGAAAGATTTTTTCTTATGATTTTAGTAGGAAAGTTAAATTACTTGAAAAAATTCAGGAAACATTGAATTGCTATGGATATTGACGAAACTTGAAAATATAAATGGATGGTGGGGAGAATTCAGGCAGTATCAACAAAGAAATGGATTTAGCAGGAAAATTAAATTACAATTGGATATCTGGGAAAATGGAAAATGTCAATGGGTGATGAGGAAATTAATGCATTAGTAGCAAATAAATGGGGAAATAGTTTTGGTAGAGAGAAGTCTACATAATGTTCGGAAAATACAATAGTTAATATTAAATTCAAAATTTTATTTATCTTTACAGATTCACTACTGCCACCATTGAGATTATCGGCCCTGGAAGTTTTGGATCCAAAATCCATTTCTTAACAGGTGCCTCGGCCAAGGCATCAGATCCTCACCCTCACGAGAAAGGTCACTAAGGGAGAAATTTATAAAGGAGAAGGGAATTGAGATTGGATAGACTTAAATTATGTGCAGCATTCACCTTCATCAATGTTCTTCATTAAGAAGCCACAATGCTTTGGAACTTATAGTGCATGAAACTTATGCAGTACATTTGTTATGGACGAAAAGATCACAATTTCATACCTTTTGAAATGAGTATATGTGTATTTGTGCGGCAATCAGATTTTATTTGAAGGATTTTTTGCAGAAACCATCTTATCTTGTTTATAGAAATCCATGCTAAAAAGTATCAATCCTTGAGTTTTTTAGTGTATAGAGAGGCTATTTTGTTAAACACCTAAGTAATGGTATCATGAGAAAGAATTATAATTCTTATGGGTTTAGGGTTTAGGTTTTTAGGGTTTAGTATAGAAAAATCATAATAACATGAGTTTCGGGTTAACCAGAGTTGAGCGATGGGTCAATCCAACACCCATTTTATTATGTTTTCTCTATAATTAGTGTGGCCCTTGTTTCGATTCCATATTCTCTATCATTCATCAAAAGTCAGCTGATCATGGTTCTCTTCATATTCTGTTTTACTGTTTGGATTCACCAACTACACTTTTAACCCCCCTCCGCTACCGATTGTAGTTGGTCTTTACTTGTAACTTTTTCCCTTTAACGTTTACGATGCTATTTCATAAAAAAATATTGCACTGCCATGATCTTTTTTTGTTTTGCTAAGTATGCCTGCTCTTTTCAACTATCAATTATTTATGAATAAATGGATGTTAATATGTTCCAACCAACTACTTTGGAAAATATCAAGATTGATAATTTTTATTGAGTAACAATAATGTTCTCTATATAGTACTATACTACTTTTTAAGTAAAGAAAGGGCTATGTTCCTACTCCCACTCCTAATATGTTTCAACTTTCAAGGCTCCTTGGGGTTAAATGAGGCTAATCATCACATACACACACGCACATTCATTCATAAATAAATAAAAATATATATGTATGTATCTTAAAATTTATGGGGATTGTATACTATGAGATCATTTGGCTTTATTGCAAGAAGTTCACAATTGCTACTAACCATTAGATATCAAACTGGATGGCTTTAGAGTGTGTCATAGAGTTCGAGAAATTTATTTTTGAACTTTGGGTCTAGTCAATGACACATTGACAACCACCTTATATGAAATTTAACGGACAAGTGTGATTGTGATCTCCTTGTATTAAAAATAAATGGCCTCATATATATATACACACACACACACACACACACACACACACACGTGTTGAGTTCCACATGTTTATAGCGATATGTGTGTGTGTGTGTATATACATGTATGCATAATATATACATGTAGCTATGCACATACATGTGTAGAAGTCCACATGCTTGTAGTGATGTAACGTGTACACGTCTCTATTATGTACTCGCACAGATACATGTTGTTATGCTTGTAAATGGCATATATTTGGTATTTGTTTTTTGGCTTTATTTATTTTTTATTTTCTTCTTGTGTTGCATTTGTTGTGCATTTCAATGGAATCATCATTGTGAACGAATGCCAGGTGAAAGAAGATGTTATGAGCCAACAAATTTTCTAAACTTCAGTCAATATATATATGTACTTACGTATATATATATATACTTATGTATGTATGTGTATAGCATTTGGACATTTAGCCAAGTTAGTGCACTTCATGTACTTCCTCAGTTACAGGTCTTTTCATGCTTCTTCCAATGAGTATACTTGAATCTCTAACTATATTATCATATTTTGAATTTTGATGATCTCCCAACCATGCTGTTTTCCCCCAATTAAAAGTGGGCTTATGTGAACTTCTAATCCAGGTTCTAGAGTGGAAACTCGAGAAGCTTCTCAAGGAGGACACCAAAGATCCCGATCAGTTCTCCAAGTTAATTTTCCTCTCTGGAAAGTTGCACAACATCTCATTTGCTCTGAGGACTTTCACTTTAATGGAAACTCAAGGAACCACACCCAACACAGATATTTTCAATTCTCTCATCTCTTGTTGTGAAGCTTCTGGTTTATTGACCATGGCCTTAAGCCTTTTCGAAATAATGAGCAAGGCAGGACACTGTAAACCCAATTTAGCCACTTATAATGCAATTATATCTCTATATTCTTCTCTTGCTGATGTCAAAAACATGAGAACCTGGTTTTTAGCTTGCAAAAAAGCTGGCTTCTCCCCTAATTCTGAGACTTACGAGCACCTGATTCGAGCCTCTTTTAAGGCAAGACTATTTGAAGAGTTTGATAAGTATTACGAAGATATACTTGCGTCTAATCTCATTCCAAACTTGGTCACAGTGGAGCTTATAGTCAAAGGGCTAAGTGGAGAGAAAAACTTGGTTAGAATCAAAAGTGTTGTTAACTCATGATTAACAGAGTTTGGCCTGTAAGCTCCTCTGTTATTGAGGGCCTTCTGGCACTCTACAACGAGTTTGGAATGGTTGAGGAGATAGAGAAATTACTGGATTTATCTAGCTTGGTTTCTGAATCTGATATTTTATTGCATATTTATTCGAGAATTATAATGCATTATGTAGCAGCAGATCAGTTAGATGAAGTGGAGTATTCTATTGGAAAGTTGTTAAAAGAAGGGAAGAGCTTTACTTCTTGTGGTGACATTGAGGCAGTTATTAGTTGTTATTTTCGAAATAGGGAGTATGAGAGATTGGAAGTGTTTTGGGATAGGATAACAGAAGTGTATGAGATCGAGGAATCGACATTTAGTCTCTTGGTTGCAGGGTATAGGAGGGTTGGGATGAGTGAGAAAGTGGAGATGGTCATGAATTGGAGGAAGAGAGCTAGTCGTTCAGTTCCGGATGTTGTGTTTATAAGTGAATGATGACTGATGGGGTAAGGTCTGCATTGAAGCATATTTATCCAGTGGTTTGAGAGAGAGAGAGAGAGAGAGTGCATTCAAGAACTCGGGATCGGATCTGGTGTGAAAGCCTCCTGATATGGATTTGGTTGTCAAGAGTGGTGCTATGGACTTGGTCCCACTTGCACATTGGAAAAAAGATAAAATATTTTTATGATCCTAGAAATGGTTGGAAATGGGCCTCTGTCTAAGTAGGAGAAAATGTCCCATCCCAGTGGTGCAAAATGACATTACAGGGCACTGCCCCTGCTTGGCTAACCAGGGCCTTGACTTCATGGGGGTCTGAGTACTTACTTTGCTGGGCTAACCCACAGAGAGAGAGATGGCTCTCTCTGGGTAAGGAGAGAGAAGGTGAAAAATTAGAATACATTGCTTCGGCCCTGCTCGGCTAGCCAAAGCTTAGCAAGGGTTTGACTTCGTGGTGGGGTGAGTACTTACCTGCTGGGCTACACACACCACATAGTGAGAGATCATAATTTTTTGTTCTTTTTGTGAACATTCAAAATGACTAGCTTTTTACATTGACAGTTTTAGTTATGCACCTGATTATATGTAGTTAAGTTGTCGATTTTGATGTGGGATGATTTTCTCTCGGGTATATCAATGGTAGGATTTAACATAATCGATAGAGAGTTTCATGGAAATCATCTGCCTGATACTAATTGCCTCCTTAATTGAAATGTTTTGGTGGTGTAGATTTAGCCCGAATAAAGTTTTCCACATTACAAGAAGATCCCCTGGGGGTTGAATTTTGGGCATAAACGAAACAAATCACTTTTGGTTTTGATATGACTGAATAACTGGTCTCTCTCCCTCATCTCTCTCACCCCACAGATTGTAATAGCACCTAATCCTTTGTAAATTCTCCCTCACCTTTTCCCCCCCACCTATACATCTTGCCCTCTCTCGTAAGTGTTGCCCCACCACCTATACATCTATCCCTCACTTTATCGCCCACCAACTCAGCCCAATATTTACTGAACAGTGGAGCCACGAACTCTTATCCAACCAGTCACATTTGCCACGAAACTGTATGCGAACCCATGTTTGCAAAATCGAATTGAAACAGTTAACCGGACATGGGCCTGGAGGCGGTTAAGCCGGCCTAACCGGTAAATCGGCCAATTCAACCGCTCTAATCAGGCAAATCTCAGGCGGTCAAAAAATTGTTGAAAAAGAATACAAAAAATATAAAAAAAAATTTACTAAAATATGAAAAGCATATAAAGAATGATTAAAATAAAACACATTCAAATGAAGTTAAAAATTAATGAAAAAAAAATGAATTTTAGCCCATTTCATATTTTTCAATGGCTATTTTTTTAATTTTTTTAAAAATATGAAAAAATATAAAAGTGAGTATTGATGACCAAAACAATTTTTAATCTTTACCATAACGTAAATAATATTAAGAAATGCAGTACAAATCAAAATTCTTAATTTTGAGAATTTATATATATTTTTTATTTTTATTTTTTTAAAAAGTACCGGTTGATTACCATAATTGTCCAAACCTAGAACCGGTCATTGGCCGTTTTCGATCTAATCGGGTCGTTAGCGATCAGATTGAGCGATTTTGCAAACAATGATGGAACGTTATTGTCTGTTGATCAATGCTAGCCCTTGTCTGGCATGGTGAGGGTAAAAAAGTAGAGTAGTCGTGGGAGGGTCGAAAGCGACACAGGGGG